AAGACTTGGAGCATTTGACATTTCTGTTCACCAGAGTGCAAGCCCTTTGTTGCAGTGACTTACAGTATATATAGTCTCCAGTGAAACTTTTCACCTCTGACCTTGCCTCTTCCAGCTCTTTGATAGCGTCAACAGTAACTATTAGTAAGATGTTCTGATCAGTTCTTTCAGAGTTGAATTTGAAGTTTTACTTTTATTATTACAAGATCATTTAGTTTACTGAATATTGCAGATTTGTTCCAAGGGGAAAAAAATGACTATGTCATTCAGTATGTATGAAGATCCCATTAGCTTAAAAGCTACATACTCTACTACATTTTTGGGGAACCCTATTTCTTAACAAAAGTCCCAATATTGACATTTTAAAATTTGCGGATAGAAAATTGAATTCTGCAAGAGCACATAATGTTAACAGTTGAAGGTTTTGAAGTTGTTTTGGGAAAAGAAAGCAGTAAAAAAAAACAAAAAAAAAACATGCTTTCAACAACTGTTATCTTTGTTGAATTTAAAGGGGAGCGAATTTTGAGTGTTAAACACATTCACAGGTAAAGAGCCTGACATCTTGGTGTGAGGACTCTGTTGACCCCCTGCAGGGTCTTCAGTGCCTCGCTCAATCTCATCTTCTTCTTTTTTTATATATATAAATATATATAGTTGAGAACTGTCCTGTATATAACAGTAATGTAGCAATAAATGTGCCATTTTTAATAACAGATTATACCTTTTCCAATGTCTGGCTTTTGAAATTGTATACATAAAAGGAAAAATAAAGGAAAACATTGTAATAAAGGGTTTACTTGTAGTTTGGAAAGTGAATTTGTTCATATTTTCCTTTGCTGGTTGAAGGTCAAGAACAGATGCATTATTGACCTGCTTATGGTTATGCAACCAAGCAAAGCACAGGCCTACTACATTTGAGATATGAGAATGATTCCGGATATTTACATTTCGTAAATTTAACACTTGCGGGTCTGACGTATTGGATGTAACTGTATGGTTGCCAAAGACAGAGTGTACATATTTTTAAACGCTATTTAAGTACTTAAAATGTTAGAAACTAATAAGACCTTTGAAATGGTGGCCTGAGACGACCCTGAGCCTTTGCACGCAGTCTCGTTTGTTATTTTTAACAGGCATAAGAAGAGGCAGCCCCTGGGTCCTAAACAGCCATCTGCGATCAAACATTGCATGGCGTAAAGAACTACAACTGAGAGAAGGTCAGGATGGTCCAGAAAATACTTAATAACTTAATTGGCAGCAAGTATGTTGGTATCTTACGGGCGTGGTAAGTTAAATCACTAACCAAGGCAGAGTATCGGGAAGCAAACATTCTGTAAACACTTTGTTTATGTTTGAAATGACGTTGTTTTCGTGTCTGTGTCCTTCTGTGACCGCTTGGCGCACAAGCTAGCTTTAGCTTAGCCTGCTTGTTTATATCTTATTGACTCAGCTGGCATGGCCTGTTAAATGTATTTAACTGAACAACTAGGTGTTCAAGGACGAGTTTCACATGTAATCAGCATAGATTCGTATTGAAAGTAGAACGATATCTTAATAGGGTTGAAGACTGACTTTTAATTTAATCTTATAAAGATTAAATTCGTGTGCCTGTCTTAAATTCTGATGACAGACAAACAGGCCTACGCCCATTCACTTACTTTATACACTGGAGCCTGTCGTGTTTGATTTTGAGATGTTTTACTGATCTATTTTTTTATCAGCCTGCAACATTTAAGCATAACTTGGTTACATTTATCATTATTTCTCTCTCAAAAGTTGCTTTATGATTAATTATAGTGTTTTGTCTGGAACCATTACTACTGTCAGTAATAAATATTAGAATTAGCACTTGTGATTGATTTATCTGTTTATGAGTCAGTGCTTTAAAATTGAAACAGCCTAATCAGATAACCCCCACACACACACACACACACACACACACACACACCTCATCGTTGAGTAATAAACTGATTCTTTACTTCTTCTGTCTTATTTACTAATCTCTGTGTTTATTCCATCAAGGGTACCAAACATGGTCGCCTGGGGAACAGTTGGTGGAGTGGCCCTCATTCACTTCACAGACTGGAGGTTGTTTCTTGACTATGTGCCATACGTTAAAGGGAAGTTCGAAGAGGATGAGTAAAGTCTTGCAGGACTCGATTGTGAGTTTATTATCATTATGACAAACTGTTGTGTCACTGAGGTTTTTATTCTCACACTGTTTGTTTGCAATGTGAAGTTGGGTTGCGCTTTTGCTTCAGCAGCACTTATATTCTTATTTTAAGATGCCGGGGTGGGTGGGTGCAGGCCATACCAGGTGTAAGAACCTAGCCTGTTGTTCAAACTCTAGTCATGTCTCTGCACAGGTAACCCCATACTAAAGGTTAGAATGCCTGATATTTTAAAACATGCAGGTATTACCAACCTAGGCCAACTTCAGGCTGGGATTAGTAGTCGCAGAGATCAAGCTGATCTTTGAAGCTATTCATTTAACAACTGTGCAGGTGTATTTAAAAAAAAAATTGTTTCTAGGAAAAATGGGGTCAGTATGATAACTACACCACTTCAAGCAAGAAATTCAAGCAAGAAGGATGTGCTGTATACACATTTAAACAGATGCATGTATCTTTTTAGTAATGAATGGGCTGTGTGTTTGCCTACAGGACCAGATCTTGGGAAAAGGCACATAGGTGGATTGCTTTCACAACGCAAGCTTAAGGGGGATGCCATGGCTCAGCAATCAGTCGCTGCTGGCTTGTTAGGAGTTTGGACTACGGGATGCACTCTGTATAAAAGCTGTTCTTGATCCAGTATTATTTAATGTGAATAAAACTACAATTTACCCAAATGTGTCCAGTTATTCAAAAAACAAATTCAAACTATTTTAATGTGTTGTTAAAATGCTGGGGATGGGTATTTTAAATACTTTGTGATGAAAACTTTATATTCCATTCGTTTGTATCTGTAATGCTTTCTTTTCTTTTTTAAATAAATGTTGGAAATTCTGTTAAATTCATAGTAAAGCGCCATAAAGTATATTTCATATTTGCCAACTGATTAAGATGCATGTACTGTAAAAGTAGTGTGAAATAAAATTTATATTTAACAAAATGCATATGTCAATTATGGGAAAAACGTAACTGCAGTGCATACAAATACACATATTCACCAAGGTCTTGCTGTACACCGACATTACTCCAGGTTTGGCAGGGCATTATTTTATCAGCCAGACAGCAAAATTTGCGTGGATAATGTCTTTCATTTCTCCCATCGAAGGGGGAGGGGACTGAAAGAGGAGAGGGGAGAAGGGATTTAACATAGCGAGAGGGAGAAAGCGAGATAGTGTCTTCAAGATGGATAAAAACGAGTAAGTATATCATTTGAAGGACAATGAAACCATCAACAAAAGCATATAAATAGCAACTATCGTTTGACGCACAATGTGTCGTTCTCGTCATATATCTGCAAATTTGTTTATCATCGATTAGGCAGATGCACTCGGTGGTTTCGCTTTTTTTGCAAAATAGCAATGCCGTAGGTTTACGCTAAGATATCGGTCTTCACTGCATCATTTATAATGTGCTTCTGTTTTTCTGCTACTTGAAGCTGATTTTGAAAATGGTCTCGTATCGGTATATTGCGTCGACAGTGCCATTACGACAAAAGCAAATTATGTCTCTGCATCGGTGCATACATTAATCCTCTGTAGATTCATAAAATGCATTAAAAATTGTGTCTGTTTTAGTCGATTATATTTAGTTTGTTCATTCAGAAAAGCCGGCTTCAAGCACTCATGACCACGGTCTGCATTGTCGTGGAGGATCTACAGATTCATGACGCTAGCTCACACCAAACTTTAACATTGCTTGAGCATGCTACAAGTGTATGGCGCTGTTTGACAGCATGCACTAGGAATAATTATCAAACGGTATCGACGATAGTTGTTATTGTATCTTGTGTGATTATTATTTATGTGCTGCAAAAAGCTTAATGTTTCCTAAACGTTAACACTGATGTTGTGTTAGAGTCACTTCGGTGGCAGAATGTAAGACTTCCGGTATAACCTCTCAAAACAAAAGACGATTCAATCATGGCTCGAGTGCTCTTAGTCCTCACTTCTAGTGTTTCATTTCCAGCTTGTAGTATTAAAATAAAAATAGAAAAACACACTTTTTGAGCTAACCAATGAACAAAATTGAAATGATGGCTATGTTTTCATCCCCCCTTGTTATCATACTTTCTCTTGACATGAAATTGAAAGCACAGCAAAAACAACAAAAACCGCCTGGAAATCGAACTTGAAATACTAGTAAAGTATATATTACAAAACTAACTATTTCAAGCCTCCAAAACCTCCATACTTTAAAAAAAAAAAAAATGTTCTGTTGAGCACAAAATATTATATTATATTATATTTTGTTTATAATTTCACTGCATTTCAATCAGTGAGTTTTATGGCTGCAATACTGGAAACATTTATAACTTCATTCTAACCTAGCTCACAATTTCATACTTACATACTGATAAACTTGTGTTTATCAGTTTATCTATTTTTTCCTCTCTCTCTTTTTTTTAAAGAAAAGAAGCCTTCCTAATCTACTATTTTTTGTTGTTATTATGTCGATGTTTCTCTACAAGAATAATAAAATAAATTAAATGTGCTTAAACTGAAGGAAAAAGTATGAAAATACATATTGATGTATTTTGATTTTCTTTTGCGTTCGAGAATTTGGAAATTATCCTGAAGCCTTTAGAGACATGAGAAAACAATGTGTTGAAAGTTATTACGCACCTTGGATGCTTTTATTCCAAAAAAAACACTTCTTTTTTTTTTTATTGTGAAGTCATTAGCCTCTGACTTCCCGTCTCGTACTGGTTGCCTCGCGGTGCGTAGACGCAGCCAGGGTGTCCTATGTTTTACTTGCGGATGTAGCGCTCGTTGCCCCGACGAGACAGGCAGGTAGTGATGCGGCTTGAGGTCCGCGGCGGAGCGATCTGCTCGACGACAAAGAGATGAGATGTTGTTAGCAGGGAGATCCCATTACAGAGGACGCATGTAGTAATATGGCCGAAACAAAAGCGTAAGAAGCGAAATACCTGCCGTCAAAAAAAAAAAAAAAAAATCGACACAATTCTTAAAATCTAATTTGGTTGTTCGCTATAACTTTTAGTGGATTTATAGGCTTCTCGCGTGGGAAATGGAGAAGAAAAGGTGGGATTGCACTGCTCTCCCCAAGGGCTGGAAAATGGAAGAAGTGACCAGAAAGTCGGGTTTGTCAGCTGGAAAAAGCGATGTCTATTATTTTAGGTACTAAACGAACGAGGGCTTACAAAACTTAATCTGTGCACATGTCACCGAGTGTACCGACGGCGCACTGTAAGGGTGACGATTATAAAGTTTGAGTGGGGAGGAGAAGTGGGGTGGGGGGGGCGCTGCTACTAGCAGAGCAACAAGGCCAGCTCCCCTCACAAGTGTTGGGATAAGTAGTCTATCCAACCGTGCAAAGATAGTCGCGGCTGCAGCCAGTTTCCGCCTGGCGGGGCCTTTCATGAATAAAAAACCTCAGTGTCATTTCAGTTTATACTTTTTGATTTCCCTTTTGAAATGAATCTACAACAGCAGATTTGTTTTCATTTAGCAGAGGAGAAGAACAAGATGAGGAACAGAGGCAAGAGAGGGGGGAGGCGGGTCGGTTGTATAGTTTGTGGTAGGCTGACTGTACAATCCTACTGGTGTTAACTGTGGTGTGTGATGTAAGATACATTTGCATGAGTTACTAGCACGTATCCACCCACAGTTGTTTCTTTGTTGGTCATTGCTCAGGCTAAAGTTACGGTGTTGTTGCTCCCACTAGTGGAGTTACAATGTTTCCACTCTGAAACATTTGGTTAGTTTTGCTACAAATACACACTTGATGGATTTGAGAGGTTAAGGTTAAAGCTCTTTGTAACAATTGTAATGTGGTCGTTTATACTAATATTTTAATGTGTGAAGTTTGTTAAAATACAACATGATTTAGGTGGAGAAATAATCTGTGAATGCATTCATTTCACAAAGTAATGTGATTTCATTGGTCACTTGTGTATGTGCACTGCTTCTATTGCTTTTTGACTTGTTGCATGTTCTGTTAAGGTTTGTAGTTTTCTGTCTGCTGTGTGTGTGTGTTTTGAAGTGTGACGTGTTTCGTCTTTGTTTCCTGGCCTTATCATTTTTAATTTCAGCCTTGGTGTCTTTTGTGCAGATTTGATTATGGTTGTTTGTGTGAAAGATGATATAAGTAGGCTTGTTTCTCTCTGCCTTCCCTGCCAGTCCATCTGGGAAGAAGTTTCGGAGCAAGCCTCAGCTGGCCCGTTACCTTGGTAACCAGATGGACCTCAGCTCCTTCGATTTCCGAACAGGGAAGATGCTGATGAGCAAGCTGAACAAGAACCGTCAGAGGTTGCGCTATGATAACAACAACCAGAACAAGGTGAGACAAACAAGCTCATGATTGCAACTCTGCAAGTAAAACAGACTCACTTAAATATTAAAGGTGGGCTAAAGATGTTTAGGAAATCACTCGCTTATATCTAAAACATGAGTTTACCCTTTTAAAGTCCTGTCTAACTTTAGTGACATTTAAGTGAGCATTAGATAATCATATTGCAGGGGGATAAGGAAACATGAATAGACGTTAGATTTACACACAGATAAAATATAACAAAGCACACGTTTTAACAAAAGTTAAAATACTTTTATCCTTCCTTCGAAATTCAGATCTCTTTGTTTCACACCGAAGTTCTTTAAACACTTTTAAACAATACTGGTCAGACTGCACAGTTACTTATCAACAATCTTGTGGAATATTGCGTGATGTTCTGCCATTACTCCTTGTTTCATTTTATCAAGGGCAAACCGGACTTGAATACATCACTCCCTGTCAGACAGACGGCGTCTATCTTTAAGCAGCCTGTTACCAAGGTAACCAACCACCCAAACAACAAAGTCAAGACGGATCCTCAGAAAGCAGTCGACCAGCCCAGACAGGTGAACACCTACTGCCGTTTGTTTTGAACAAGATATCATGAAAACCTGAAAGAAACATGTTAATATGGAACCTTTAAACCAGGATGGATTGTTTTCTCACTGTACTGGCCCCATATTTTTATTAAGATGATTTTGTTTTTGTCTGTCTGCCGTCAGCTAATATTACCACCTTCCATCTCTTTTGATCTGCAGCTATTTTGGGAGAAGAAACTCAGTGGTCTTAATGCATATGACATCGCAGAGGAGCTAGTGAAAACAATGGAACTACCTAAAGGTCTGCAAGGTAAAACACAAATTATACATACATTTCTTTGAGAAAACACATTGACTTATGCAAAGTGGCATTTTCTCATGTTTTCATTTTCTCAGTTTTTTTCTGCAACCATTTTTTCTGATATTCATTTCATCCAGAGTGAAGTTACAGCTTTGATGTTTCTTTAAAATGTTTTTCTAACCATCCTGGTGGTCCCTCAGGTGTTGGTCCAGGCTGCACAGACAAGACTCTTCTGTCGGCGATTGCGAGCGCTCTGCACACCAGCGCTGCTCCCATCACTGGCCAGCTGTCTGCAGCTGTGGAGAAGAACCCGGGAGTGTGGCTCAACACGACACAGCCACTTTGCAAGGCCTTCATAGTCACTGATGAGGACATCAGGTAGGTGATAACTAGAGTTGGGACTGATCTAATATCGGTATCGGGTCCGATGTTGAATGAAGAAAGATCATTGGGCATTATCTACATTCTCAGCTCAAACAGTCTGACATACTTTTGCAGTGTTTCCCTTAGGTTTAGAGCTGGGGGGGGGGGCACCTGAATGCAGCCTGCTAACAGCGCATCCCCTGAGTAACAGCAGAGAGAGAGACATGCCCAGAAAAGTCCAAAGTCAACTAAGCAGACCACTTTATTTTCTGTTGCTTCTTTCTTACGGACTTTTTATTATTGCGTGTGCGTCCATCAGACACAACCACACACACCCAGGCCTCCGCTAGTGAGAGTGTGCTCACCTATGTGCACACCTGTGTGTGTGCGTGTGCGTGTGTGTATCGGGGCAAAACTCCGCCGTGCACGACACAGAGAGCAGAAGAGAATTGTAAACGCGCGACCATGTAGAGACAGAAATGACATGGCGTCGTGTAAATAACATAAATAACATAAGGCTATTTAGTTTGTTTAATAAAAGGACGAGGTATAGACCTGTTCTATAGGAAAGGTATCCTTATGACTTCTGTTGTGATCTGGTGCTATATAGAAAATAAAATGAATTTCACCATCGGGGGGGCGGGCAGCCCCCCTAATATAATGGTAGGGGAAACACTGCAATCAATATTTAAGAGTATGTTCCAGACTACGGTTACTGTTGCAACTTTTTGCCCTTCTGGCTTTTTTTGCAAATGTATCAGCATGTGTTTATAACCATGAGGTTGAAGAAATCTGGGATGTGCATAATGTCCTATGTTGGGTTTTTAATCACTTCAAGTGATATTTACTTCCATTTTGCACATTAAAGCCCAATAGCAAATACAACAAGATTGAGCTGGAACAAAATTAGGAATCACTTTAACAATCTCTTAGTCATCTTGAATTCAACCAAAGGTAACAGACCAAATCTGTTTATAAATCTCACAGTCCAGAACGAGGGACCCTGTAAAAACAAACCATCTGTTCTGTGCTGATTCTGCTTGCTATAGGCAGCTGTAACTGCCAACTGTAACAGCTTCCTGTTGTGTTCACATGTAGGAAACAGGAGGAGCTGGTGTACAGTGTGAGGAAAAGGCTGGAGGAGGCACTGATGGCAGATATGTTGGCACACGTCGAGGAGGCTGCCAGCGATGGGGAGGTTCTGAAGGAGGACGGCAATGGCAGTGAAGATATGGAGAGCGTATAGCACAGGTTGGTAAGGGGAAGATTAAGCGAATATAAAGGCACACTTAGATTAGGCCCAGCTTCCCCATACTGTGCGGAAGCACAATTGTACCCCTGTCCCCCTGCTGGCCTGCACTCACATTACTTCAGGCCCAATCAGGCATGAGCATGGTTACCTCTATACATACATCATCACATTGTAATATGAGTTAGTCGCAGATTTTTCCAAAGACCTCTGAGCTGACTGAATATAAACTTGAGTAAACATTTGACCTCAGTATCAGACCTAAGTGAAACGTTTACGCACGGTATGGAGCACTCACACAAGTCAATCAAACTGGACTTTGGGGGTAAACTTGCTTGGGCATTGTGCAGTTTACCTAGTGTGAGTGCACCCTAAGAGCGTAGATGTACTATCAGCTATAGACATAAAGGTCTCATGCTTTTAGCAGCAGAAAGCATATCAAGACTTCTATACTCAGTGCATTAATTATTACAAAAAACTAGACAATATGCACCTTCTAATGGCCATTTCTTTCCTCTTGTAGGGTTTTGGTGATGCCCAAATGGGTTTTTTCAACACCTGCGCACACACGACCATGAACAGTAGGAGCCCCACAACAGTCCAGCCCTGATGAACTGTCCTCTTGTATCTGCAGCCCAACTTTAACCTTAACCTGACTCCCTCCAGCCCCTTACATCCTAAAAAAAAAACGTCTTCCGCTTTGGAACACCTGGAGTCTCAAATGTTTCTATTAGTCATTACCTCCACTGGATGGGACTCTTAAGCGTATGTCCAAACTCTGTTTTTTCATTGGAAATAAAAAAAAAAACCTTTACATAATAATATTGCATTAAATGAACTAACATAAATTAATAATAACTTGCCTACAGTATGTCAAAGTCAGTGTTTGATGAGCATATTTTTTACTGAAATGGGTGTATATGTTTTGTGACAATCTGTCAAAATTGAACATTTAATGTCTGCTAAAAGTCACTTTTTGGTTCCAACAGATTAGAAATAATGTTTTGTACTTTTGACATGTTTCTTCTATCAATTTTATGATGCACTCCATGACTAGTGTGACAAAGACCACACATGACGCATTTTTAATGGAGCCAATTCAGATGTTAACCACACAGACTTAAGCTAATCAAAATTAGCAACAGTGCTAACCTCCAGGTGGATGATGTTACATATGAAGATAGCATAGTTTGAATGCAGCAAGTCTTTCCTGCTATACAATCATGGAAATATCTTCTTTAATGTAAGTGGTGTTATCCTGATTTCTGTTCAGTATTGACCAAAGAGGAGACATGTCTTTTGGAAAAGGCTGTAGGTTTGTGTCTGCTTTGTATTGAACTGTGGCTGAGCATTTAAGCTCTGCTGTTTTACAACCAAACTCAAGGAAAGTCAAAGGTACACGTGATGGGCTGAGCACAAATGTTAAGGAAAGAAAGGATTTGAAACCTCTTTCTGTAATGAAATTACTACTGTTTTTATCATCATAGGTGCTTACTGATGTTGTGAAACATTGCTGTTCTTCAGTCCACTTTTTTTAAGTGTCAATGTTACCACACACATGCTGCCTCCTTGTAAAACCCACGCACAAAATGGTCATGCAGCAAACTACATAAAGATTCTGTTTTAATGTCTTTTCATTTATTATCCGAGGAAAAATTATTTAGTGTTTTTTTTTTTTAACCCTGTCGAGGTTTGAGGATGAATAATGTGTTCCCAGCTGAAATTTTGAAATTCTTAATTCAATGTCAGCAGGCTGAATGCTGAATTGAATTTGATTGTATTAATTATTAAAAATTGGTCGATTTGTAACTAAATATGTTGTCAGTGTGGCTGTATTTTATTAAAAACTTCTTTATTTGTACATTCACATACACAATTATGTTGTGAACCTCTTCTTCCATACTCCCCCATCAAGAAGTTGTAGACCCCTCTCCCTGAAAGCCGTGATTCAAACTGCACATTTTCAAGGAGCAACGCGTCCAGCCAACTGCTGCATCCTCCCTCAGATTAACAGTTAACTTGAAAGTCATCTTGCTCCTGTGAGAGCCCGGACAAAGTACAAAGGACTGTCACCAGAGGACACAAAGTGGCTCTTCTATGAAAGTGTGGAGGACAGGCTGTTCGTACACAGTGACATGTAGATATTACCTCCCATTGTTTTTCTTCAGTGATGTTCCCCTGCATACTTTAAAATAGTTGAAATAGATGGCTTCACTGGAGCTATACAGCAAGGTAAGATTATTTATTTTTAAGTGATGTGCCATTGATTACTCAGATGTACCGTATGGACGTACATAAAGGGTTTAAGACCTGCTGTACTAGTTATCCTTAAAAGAACTGTAATTACCTCAATGTAAGACATTAGAAAAGAGATAAACAGTATTCTAATTAAACGACCGGTGTGATATGTATTTGTCATCCTTTTAGAGTTATGTGAGTTTTCACAATAACTCGTAATGCCCTGAAGATTACAAGTCCTCATTTTTGTGTGATCTTGATCCAAACAGATGATAGGAGGTTTGATATGAAACAACCTGCAGAAAGTATATGTGTGATTTTAATTCTTATTTCAGTCCAATTAAAGCTTTGGTAGAGTGTGGATAGAATGCATTGGTAAAATTAACACATTCATAAAGGAATTAGTTTAGTTAGAACTCAAAATGACTAATCCAGAAGAGGATGACCAGTGTTAATTTTTAACACAGTTTAAGAGGCTTTTATGCTGATGACTGAAAAACGTCTTTCTTGGGTGAGGCCAGGATGTGTTTTTATGTTCTTGAACTGTGTCGGAAACGAAAATGAATCATGCAATGAACATCTCTTCTTTCCTGTGCTGCAAATGCATTCAGTCCATGCAGAGTGTGTTCATGTATATCTGTAGATCGATTAATCAATATGATGTTTGTTACAGTTTCACATGTACCTCAAATGATCTATTTCTTTTGTTAGGGAGCCAATGTCTGGATTCCTGAACCAGATGCAGTCTGGGTGTCAGCCCTGCTCCTTCAGGACTACAGTCCTGGAGAGAAACATCTACAGCTGCAGCTGTCTGATGGACAGGTGGGACATTGCAGATTTTATAAAAATGTATTAAAATCATATATGTTGTTAATGCCTAAGGCTAAGGGGAACTTCAACTTTGCAGTTTGTTAATGTGAAATAACACAAGAACAGACAGGTCCCACAGAAATACATTTATGGAGAGATGTAAGAGTGAGTGAGTGCACAGGAACGGGTGCCCTTGAGCAATAGGGCGTTCAGTGAGTTGCTCAAGGGCACCTCGGCAGTGCTCAGGAAGTAAACCAGCTCCTCTCCAGCTACCAGTTCCAATTCCATATTTGCTCAATGATAGGACTTGAATTGGAGACCCTATTTCCTACGGACTGTGCTACTGCCATGATAGTGGAGACCATAATACATTGCATACCACAATAACTCCTTTCCTCTTTCTCTGTTGGTAGGAGGTCCAGTACCCAGTGGGGTCCATCTCAGATCTTCCGCCTCTGGGGAACCCGGCCATCCTGGAGGGGGAAAATGATCTCACAGCTCTCAGCTTCCTTCATGAACCTGCTGTCCTGCACAACCTGCGGGTTCGATTCCTGGACTACAGCAGCATCTACACGTACTGTGGTGAGCACTGAACAAACAAAAGCAAACTAGCTATACAGCTTATGACAGAAACGACGGCCACCTGAATGTGAGACAACAACAGTTACTGACAGTTGTTAAGGTTTGTGCTGGCAAATAGCCAGAAACAGGCAGCTTCTGTCTGCATGATTACAGCTCATCATTTCAACTTTATTATGACAGGGCAAAGGTTGAGCAAGAGAGGCAACTTCCCCTTACTTAAGTTGCTTTTTCATATTTTGTGTTCTTAAGATGACGTCATTCTGGTTAAAGATGGCTTTACTCAAATTTACTTTGTCATTTTGTTTGCTGAACTGCTGGCTCTTAGTCTTCAATCTCTGAAAATGTGTTATTTTTTATTGCTTTTACTCCCTGTAATATCAATTGACATGTTCTGACCTCTAACTGCTTACTGCAGTGTGACCAACTAAAACTACTTGTATTATTCAAAACATTAGAAAAAAATATATTTTGGGTACATTTTATAAACAGGCAGATTGTAGTTAGCCATTGAAAAAATATTTATTTCTGGAGGTGCTAACAATGTCGACACTTCCTGCTGATGTCCCTTCCTCTCCTTGTCTCTACAGGGATTGTGTTAGTGGCTATAAATCCCTATGACCAGCTCTCCATATATGGAGAGGAGGTGATCGATGCTTACAGTGGTCAGGACATGGGTGACATGGAACCTCACATCTTTTCTGTGGCTGAGGAAGCATATCGCACCATGACCCGGTCAGTACTTAAACTGTATACAAGGAAATGTCCAACAGCTTCTCTTTTGCGTTTCATTTGCTGTTCTTGCTAATGCTTTGTTTAATGTTATGTATACTGGATTATAACCCAATGTTCTCTGTGTGTATAGGGAGGAGAAAAACCAGTCTATCATCATCAGTGGAGAGTCTGGCTCTGGGAAAACAGTCTCAGCCAAATTCACCATGAGATACTTTGCCGTGGTTGGAGGAGCATCACAGCAGACGAGTGTGGAGGAGAGGGTTCTGGCCTCAAACCCAATAATGGAGGTGATAGATAATTGAACAGATTTGTTTTGTAAGGAATATAGATTTTCTGATCAGTTTTTATGTGTTTTTATTAAAAACAAAATAATTTTTATAATACTGTTTTTTTACAGTCTATAGGGAATGCTAAAACCACTCGAAATGACAACAGCAGTCGCTTTGGGAAATACATCGAGATTGGCTTCGCCAGAAAAGGGGACATTATTGCTGCAAACATGAGGACCTATCTTCTGGAGAAGTCCAGGGTTGTTTTCCAAGTAAGTCAGAGAGATTGTGTGCATTTTGGCATAAAACAATATTCAATTAGTGGATTTTTCTGTGATATTTTTTTGTGCATGTCAGGCCTCTGCAGAGAGAACTACCACATCTTTTACCAGCTGTGTGCCTCCAGAGAGCTGCCTGAAATGAGATCCCTTAAACTAGGTGAGGCTTATTATCACACTTTTCAGTTGACTTGGTCTTTAAAACATTGATTCTCATGAAGTCCATGTTGCATTCAGACTGACTTGGTTGTTTTTATTTTGTCAGATGGGCCGGAGCGTTTTCGTTACACCAGTCAGGGAGGAGAGATGCAAATCCCTGGGACTGATGATTTGTCCGACCTGGAGCGCACCAGAAATGCTTTCACCATTCTGGGTACAGTATTACATTCAGAAATAAACACAGGCATTCAATGCAAAATCTCTGATGTTTGATGCAGAGGGAGGATTTTTTGTTTCAATGAATGATATCCATGCCTATGGCGATTAGTCAAAAAACACTGGGGTATGTTTGTAAATTGCAGGTGTGCAGCCTGACCAACAGATGGAGCTTTTCAGGATCCTGTCAGCTGTCCTTCACCTGGGAAATGTCAACATCCAAGCCAGTGGGAGAAGTGCTGAGCGGAGTTACATTGATGTGACTAAACACGTATTCTTTGTCATTTCAAATGTTTTTTTTTGTCTATCTGTTGCTGGTATACACACGTCCTTTTTTTTCCTTAGGCAGACGACCGCTCTCTGGCTGTCTTCTCCAAGCTGTTGGGAGTGGAGGGACCTCAGATGGCCCACTGGCTGTGTCACCGCAGACTGGCTGTAGGGGGGGAGATGCTGGTCAAACCCATGACCGGTCAGCAGGCTCTGGAGGCCAGAGACGCACTGGCCAAACACATCTATGGCCAGCTATTTACATGGACCGTCCAGAGGCTCAATTCTGCTCTATGCACCCAGAGGGGAAAGACCAAGTCCTTCATAGGGGTGCTGGACATCTATGGGTGAGTGATGAGCTCTGCTAATTGACATTGGAAGAATCATCTGATGATCTGAAGTGTGTTGTTACAAAGTGGGACTGACAGGTCTTCTCTCTGTTTAGGTTTGAGACTTTTGACCGGAACAGTTTTGAGCAGTTTTGTATAAATTATGCAAATGAAAAGCTGCAACAGCAATTCAACAGGGTAAGTCGTGTGAAAAGAAGACTCTCTAGTTTGTGTCTACACTTATTGTTCTCTCATTGTTTTTGCACAAACCAGTTGCCAAGTTTTTATTAAACTCAAGAAATCAGTCCTTTTTGCCTTCCAGTGTATCATCACTAAGTTCCAAATAAGTTCAATTTAAGGTCAATATAAATAATAAAGCAACATAATTAGTTTCTCTCTTTTTTTGATGTCTTTTAGTCCATGTAATTTCCTGTTTGGCATGTTAATTTGCATTTTAAAGCAAGCAGTTTTACAGTATGGTTATGTTTTTTTAGGTAACTGGTAAAGGACACAATGCAACTGTCTCTGTTAGGATGTCAGGCAAAACTTGGTTTGCAGGATAGGAAGAGTCATCATCAGCAGATGTAGTAAATCATCAAGGACTCGCACCAAATGAACCAAATGACACGTATAATTCTACTCTGGACACTGGAGAAAAGTCCCCATAACTACCGTTTTGATAAGCGACTGTTAGAACTGTTATTACTTGGGGCGGGTCTTGTGCTCTGCATGAAATGATTGATCTATTCTCATGACAGAATGCCACAGAGGGCCCCAGTCAAAACCTACAACCAATAAACACATATAAAGCGCTTCCATGTCTCTCTAATATGAGGAAAACTAGCATCTTTTCATGCAGGTTTTAAACCTCAGAATACAGAGAACACATCTGTATGCCTTCTTTGAGCCTTCTGCTTCAAGTCATGTGATCGTC